AGACCGCACGCTTGTGCAGGGTCCTATCACAAGAGCTGGGCGGATGTTGGGATTCGTTCTGCTTTGATGGATTGTTCGGGCAGCTGAGAGCGGCTGAGAATCAAAGGGATTGGTATGAAGGGCTTCTCTGGGATGAGTTTCTTCGGGATTCCGCGATATCCTTGAGGTCACTAAGTACAGTTCCTTTGGGCAGTGATGAGCCGTTACCGGCTTCAGAGGTGTTCCTTCAAACTAGGACGGTCTCTATGACGGAAGCTAGGCGGGAACTTCCGTTGTGGATTCCACCGGCGCAGGAGGAAGTTACGTCTCTTGAGGATGTCCATGAAGCAGTCATTAGAATACAAGTTCCGGATATCGAGGCCCTTGTTAAGACTGGTCATCGGGTTGTTCAGGTTCCGGGGAAGGCCGTGCTTACGCGGAAGTCCGGTGTAGGTAAACGTCGGTTTCGATGCGTGGCATGTGGGAACTTTATCCCTCAAAATGAGAACGCCCAGAGCCTCTACACCACTGGAGTTGAGGGTGTGACTTTAAGGGTAGCACTTGCTTATGCTGCACATATGTCTTGGGTTGGCCGGACCGCCGACATTAAGACTGCATTCCTGAATGCCCCCTTAGAGGAAGGCTACGATAATGGGACAGAGGAGATTGTAGTTGTACGCCCTCCTCACATTCTTGTGGAAATGGGACTCCTTGGTGTCACTGATCGGTGGCGGGTAGTTAAGGCCCTTTACGGTCTAAGACAGGCTCCGAAGGCTTGGGCTGTGCACCGGGATAAGATTTTAAAGGCTTTTGAGTTCGTGTACAAGGGTTCGCGCTTTGTCCTGAAGCAAGCGATTGCTGATGAGTCGTTATGGTACATTATAAAGGCGGACATCTCGGATGCTAACAACTATGCCCTGATGGTCGTGTACGTCGACGACATCTTGGGATTGGGACCGAGGGACCTTTTGGTATCGCTCTTCGAAGCCATTAAGAATATTTGGACGATTTCTGAACCAGAGTGGATTGTCAAGGAGAAATCTGTAAAGTTCTGCGGCATTGAGTTGTGGGCACTTGATGACGGCTTCCGTATGTCTCAGTCGGATTACTTGAGGGAGCTATTCGCGAGGTATAACATTTCCACTGGTGCGAGCTGTCCTATGTCATCCTGGAGCGAACCGGAACCCGAGGTAGATGCAACAACAGATCTGATCAAGGAAGCCCAAGGGGTCACAGGTGCACTCCTATGGGCTGCTTCGAAAAGCAGACCGGACATCAGCTACTCTGTCTGTAAGCTTGGGCAGTACGCAACAAAATCGCCGGGTATCGTCGTCAAGGCTGGTATGCAAATCCTTAAGTATCTCTTTGACACTGTAGAGCTGGGCATTGAATACAAGCGAACAGCAGGCACAGCTTGGTTGGACACACCAATCCCGAGAACGGTTGGTACGGTAGAGGTGTTCACTGATGCTTCACACGCGCCGGAGGGGGCTAGAAGCCACCAGGCGATTATGGTGATGTGGCTTGGCAGTCTTATCGCTTGGGATTCATCCAGACAACCTTTCACAACACTGTCCAGTGCAGAGAGCGAGCTGGTGGCCATAATATCTGGGGTGTGCGCCGCGGAATCAGTCGGGGCTATCTTGGAGGAATTAGTCGCTGAAGACCTTGTGGTATCGGCGATGTCCGACAATCAAGCATCAATCCGAAGCTTCGCTGCTGGAAGCCATGGCTGGCGTAACCGCCACTTAAGAATGCGCGCGGCCTCGTGCCGCGAAAGAATCGAATCTGGTAGTCTAATTGTCTCCTTTGTACCTGGAGAGCGGCAGCTGGCCGACTTAAGCACCAAACCGCTAGCAAGACCAAGAATTATGTACCTACTAAATCTGCTTTCAATCCGTGCGAGGTCGCAGGATCAGGAGGTTGATAATCACGGACGGGTGTTGAGTAGGCTCTGGTTGACTTCGCAGCTTAAACCGGTGGGTTCAGCCCACATGTTGGCGGGGTTAGCGTTGCTTGCAGCCATACCGGAAGTGAGAGCGCAGCCTAGTGGAGATGCGGCTTTGGAGTACTATGGATGGTTTAGCTGGTTGATTATGTGGATTCTTACCGGGGTCGGTTTAGCTTTAGCTTGGTGGTTTGTGTTTCGCAACGCGGATGCGGACAATCTTGAGGAGCAACCGCTTGACGCATCCCAAGAGTCTGGCATGCATGAGCTTGCTGGTCAGGGTGATCACGGGTTGTTTGGTTCGGATGCGGTTGCGGGTTTAGGATCGGGTTCTCAGGTTGGGGGGAGCAGCTCTAGTAATGATCCAGCCGGGTTGATGCCACAGACGGTTGGCGCTGGGGTTGATTTTGCGACTTCTCTGACTGGGGGGAGTAGCTCTAGTGGTGATCCAGCTGGGCTGCTGCATCAGCATGCTGCCGAAGCGCTTTTAAATCAGAGTGAACCAGCTGAGCCAAGTTTAGATTATGAGGATCTGGTCCAAGGGGACGAGGAACCGGTGTTTCCCCTGGCCCTGGTAGGAGGGTATCTAGTTCGGCATTTCTTGGTACAGCTGTTGTCGGTAGAAGGGGAAAGGGTTTTGATGTTCCTTGGGGATAGGTCTGAGTCTTGGTTTAGGCTTCGGTTGACCTCTACTCAAGTTAGGTTTGGAGTAGCCGGTTCACTGGTTGAGATTCTTAGGCAAGGACCTTGGGCATTGGTTTTTAATGGGCCTCAGTGGCTACTTGCCACAGAGGAATACATCCGACGGGGGTGTGTTGATCCGGGCTTTGAAGAACCATTCGGAGCATCTCTGTCAAATGTGGCACAATCATCTCATGAGGTTCCCGTCAGTGGTGAGCTTACTGAGTTCCCCTATGTCATTTGGGCTCCTTCTGACTTTGTTCATTACCTGAGACGATTGCTGGCTTTGAACGGCGCCACATTGTTGAGCTTGCTTGGTAACCAGTCGGTCGAATGGGTGCGGCTGAGGACCGTGTCGAGATCCTTTCAATCTGGGGTCGTGCTTGCTTTAGTTGTATGGCTTCAGGGTCGAGGGATGATTAGCCGAATGCTTGACGGTCCAGTGTCCTATGACGTAGCCACCGCTTACATTACTGGGCGCATTGCGCCAGATTCCGAGAGCGAAGATGAAGCATTGGATGATTATCCGCATCGCGATCCCGCCTACCAACAGCATCCTCCGGTGCCAGTGTTTGCTCAGATGTTTCAAGAAGCTTTTGAGGAAGCTACTTCGTCTGATGCGAGTGTGACTTCTACTACCGAGCCATCGGTTTGGAGTGCGAGTTCTAGTGAAGTTGAGGAGCTTGGGCAAGTCGAGGAAGTCGCTGATAGCTTGAGTCCTTCTGCTGAGGCTGTTGCTGGGGTCCGATACGAAGCTGAAGACGGGAAGCTTTTGGTTTACTATGTCGATGATGTATTAGTTGTTCCTCTGCCGGGGTGGAGCCTCGCGCAGGTTCTGGTGGTAGTTCAAGGGCTACGCACAGGCGTTTGGGATAACTTTCAAGAGGCCTTGGAGGCTGTTTCAGGTGACGGGGCAGAAGCTCCTGGGTCTTAAGGGGTTTCTAGGTTCCGGCTAGTGGGATTGTTGGGTCTTGCGTTTGCGAGTGATTTAAGATTAGGCTGATAGTAGGTCTCTGAATTCTGGGTTCGGGGATTGGTCTGTGCGCCACGACCGAAGGTTGTCGAGATCTGCTTGAGGTGATACTTGAATGCTCTGTGACCATGTGCGGTGATCATTTCCACGAGTGCTGTCGGGCTCCCTTTTAATCACGATGAAAACAGCTTTGAGTTGGTGATGGAAGGCTGTAAGTTCCTTCCTTTTGCTCTGCAGTCAAATAAAGGCTGTGGGTACCTAGTTAGCTTGTGATGATTTCCCGTGGTAGGCAATGTTTCTCCAATTTTAGATTGGGCTTTTAGAGGTCCTGTTAAGCTAAGTCTGACAGGTCGTTTGGAAACATGCTGAACGAGGGAGATTGTCCGTTAGTGTTGGACGCTGGAGACTTGTATTTCAACTATCCCCGAAGGGGACCCTCACGAATAGCTCGAGGTGATCGGAATTGAGTCTTAGCTTTTGTCCTCAAGCCGAGTGCATAGTGTCGAAACAGGTGGGAACATCCTGAATCTCGTGCGAAAGCATGTTTTCCTAGTACCTATCCCCTGGCTCTTGTAGGACCAGGTGAGGGGGAGTGCGTGGAACACGCTATCAGGATGCTCCCTGCGCAAAGGATGACACACCAAGGTGCGCAACACGAAGGCTGTTTTTGCTCGAAAAAGTTCGGAGCCCCAGATAAGCGATCGATTAGGCCATAACATTCGGGAATCACGAAAGTCGCCAGGCAATCTTGTCCTTCGGATTGGATTCGGATTAAGTACTTGTTTGGACGTTTGTGTCCCTGGAGATCGAGGTGGCCGCTCGGATTGCAATTACTGGGTTTGGGTGGTTTAAATTACGAAATTAGGGCTAAATCGGTTTACGGGCCGTAAAACGCTGTACCCTGGTAACTTCGACAGTGCCATCTGAATTTGACGAAGCGGCAGAGCATTTACCAGTCCCGGCGGTCCCGAGCGTCCAAACTTCCTCAGATGTCAGATGTCGACTCTCTGCCCTCTGGGCTCCCACTTCCCAAGTATACCCGAACCCCTACCGGATACTACATTCTGCGATAATGAACTCTAACATACTAGACTGTACTAGCTGTTATAGACTATACTGTGCCACATATCATGCTCTGATACACTACAAAAATACTCTGTGTTTCGACACGCGGTGGTATATCCTAATATTTACTATAATCATCAGACTGTGCCCTGATGATCCATGAGATAGACCCTGAATAACAAGCTCCTTATCCCCGGGACCACGACAAACCAGACCTGAATTTCGGGCTAAACCCAAACCCGAAGCCAGAGAATTCACCCTAAACCCTAGAACTAAACCCTGGACCCTGGAACCCTAGAACCCGAAACCCTAGAACCCTAAACCCTGGAACCCTGGACCCTGGAACCCTGAAATTTAGGACTTTCTGCCATGGCACCAGAGCACAAACTGCATCCATGGGCTAAGGCCCCTAGGAGCACCCGCATCCGTGCACTGCGAGACCTGAGCCCGACGGAGGATTAGGACGTGGGATACGATAGCCTGGTAGAGCACATCATGGCATATTAAACTATATTATGGCAAATTAAAGTATCATGGCATGGTATAGTATATATGATGGCATATTCCATACTGTGGTGCTTTATAGTATATAAGGAGTAGTTAGAGTCAAAGTTATAGTTTTATAGTACATCATGGTATAGTATGGGGTTAGGGCTGAGGGCTTGGGGTCTACTGCGAGGAAGTCCGCAGGAGACTGGTTCAAACATGCAGACGTTCCTTTCCCCCGGCATTGAACAGAGAATGAGGCGCCAGAACGATGTTGGGCCTGAGAAAAGGTAGAATAAGATAGCACCTGTGCCCTGCCGGGACTCTGCGGCTAGGTGCAGATTTACCAGTTGTGGGCACCAAAGAGCTTGGCTCTCAGGGGTGTTTGCGAAAAGCCCGCTATCAGAGGAAACATCTGATGCACTGGGGATCAGAGGTGGACGAACTTTGGGAATGAGATGGAATGAGAGTGCGAACGGATGCGTATCCCGCCACACACCGGGACAATTTCCAGGTCGGGTCAACAACACTTTGAAAACTTGCAAGAAACACCAATGAAATCAACAACTGGGCTCTGAACCCAAACTTGCCAAAGGTCTTGCGCAGCATTCAGCACCATGCGGACGGAACCGGACTCCTGAGAAATGATCGCACACACACCCCAACTTTATTTGCTCCGAATGGGCCTCCACTTCCATGCCCAGGGGGCTTGAAGCACCAGTGCCCAAGGTGCGTGGCGCACCCAGCCCAGCTTTGCTTGGCACATCGTCTTTCGGAAGCAGGGCCTGAGAACTGAACAAAGCAACTCTCGGGGGCGGTTTGGGAGCTTTTTTGGCTTCTTCGATTTGGGTTCCCTTTCAAAGGGATCCCTGAAGGGGTCCAAAAGGAATCTATAGGGTTCTATATTCTGTAGCCCGGCCTGGCGGGCCGCCGGTGCTTGGTGACTTTGGTGAGTGTGCTGCTTCCTGGCATGTTTGAGGCTCGGCTGCACCATGCCACCGGCGAGGAGCCTTTCTGCCGAAGCCCGTGGTCTGCGAGGTGCGGTGTTTCCATTCTGGGGACCTCCCGCAGGCAGGGACAGATCAGATGCATTCCGCTTGGGCTTTGAAAGAAGGCACCTCGATTCTGCTTGGATTTGTGACCTGGCTGAGCCTTGAGACAGAGACAGAGACAATCCTGTTGGCATTGATTTGCATCTTCGGTGTCCCTGACCTTCCATTCGTCAGAGCAGCCTCGTTGTCAAGTCAAAGTTTTTACAGCCACTGGCGGACCCGCATCAGAGATGCATTCTAGGCTGCTGGCTCTGGATGTTGGTTATGTCTGACAATGGCATAACACACCTGACTGCAAGAAGTTCAGGCCCCAAGCATCCCCAAACGCTCCCAACTTCTACCAACTCTCCCCTAAGTTCCTTAAGGACTTGGCTCCATGGCTCCAGTTGTCGCGCGGACAGACGGCTCTCGCTTGGCCGTCGAGCGATGCTACAAACGTGTTCACACACAAAGGAAAAAAACCATCCTGCTGCATCGGGGAGAATAATCTTCGCATGTACGCAGCAACTGCCTTTTTCTCGCCAGTTTTGGTTACACATCTTCACATGGCTCATGTATACACAGCTATGAAGCTGAAAGCTGAAGCGACACGTGACGGTTCTTTGGGCGTTTACAGAATGGCAGAGAGATACAAACGCATGGTTTGCCGGACCTTGATGCCTTTTCTGCGCCTTGTGCACATCTGCGAGGGGCCAGGTCCGTAGCGCTTTCTGCAGCTATTCTCCGATCGACGCCAAAGCACCTCCGGGAGCACCCTTCTCACACATCCCACACGTCTCCGGACCTCGGCATACTAATACTGATACTAATATCATTACAAAATTGCTGATCTAGAACGTATGTGTCCACACACCAAAAGCACGGTGTGAAAAGGCTGCTAAAGATTGATCTTGGGACAGGTTTTCTGGAGCTGCCAGAACCATGGCAGGGAAATCTCGTGATTCCGACTCTTATGGCATTGCATTTGCAAATCACTGCACTGATGAGTGTCCTGGAAGAAGTCCAGCTCGCCAGCCGTGTACACCGTGAACTTGGGATGTGTGCAAAGCGCCCGGAGGACGGCAAAGAAGACGTCCTGATCTCTGCAGTCCTGGTTCTTGTTCTTGAAGAAATCTGCGGGGCCTGTCATCTTTGCCCGCTCGAAATACTGCAAGCTCGTCTCAGGGCACGCGACATCCGCAGCCTGCCAGATGTTCTCCGGTTTGCACGCAGGGTGGAAGCCACCGATCATGGCGGCCAAAGTGGAGTTCGCCCCCAAGTACTCAGACTGGAAACCTGCCCGCAACTTCACCATCTCGAACTGTGCGGCATAGAAACATCGCAGCTCCTCTTTGTCGTGGCGGCCGGGCTCCAGCGGATCCACGTGGGCAAACACTGGTATGTTCGTAACCGGGTGCAGCATGTAGGTGAAGGTCACATCCTCAACGACTTGCGAAACAACTTCTGTCAAGTCAGGCTAAACTACTACTGTTACTAGCCACTGCCTTCCAAGTCGCATGCCCACACACAGCATCGAGAGCTTCGCGTGCATCTTCCGCGACGGGCGCAAGATAGAAGACCCAGCCACCCACCAGGATTCCGGCGATGTAAAATACGCGGAAAAGCGCATAGAAGCTTTGCAGCGACAAGCTGAGGCCACGTTTGGTCTCCGGTGGCAGCAGACCCGTGAAGTCCAATCGGCCCTCCCGGAGCTCATTGGGCAGAAGTGTGTGGTGCCGTGAGACATAGATCTGGATCGCCATGTTACTGACCATCGCTGCCATTCGCCGTGGAACCAGTGCTTCAAAGAGGAGTTCGTCAATGTTCTTTACAAACTCTAATGCAACTGCATTGAGCAGCAGGTCGTCAATATTGATTGTACCAGCCAGGTAGATGAGTCCGTACCACAGCAGGAACACTGCTATGAGAGTCCTTGGCAGGATGACCATCATCACCGAGAAGGCCTTCTGCACTGTCTTCACACCTGTGATAATGTAGCGTCCTTGTCGGAGCTCGTACTTCATTTCCTCCGTCCGTGGCAGGGAAACCACCACCAAGCCCATGTCGTGCACAGTGCGCCGGAGCTCTGTGGCCATGCTCGTTACCCAAACAAACATAGCCAGCATACAGATCACGTCCCCAGAAAGTTTGCCGAAGACCCCACCGCGATTCGTATATTCCGCGAGCCAATGCGTTGTGTCTGCCATCTCGTTGTACAGCTTTTGGTTACATACTTGCTGCGTTTGGGTTATCAAATCTTTACGGTCAAAGTTGTGATACGCTTGACCTTCTCGAATGCGCTGCTCTCGCAGGACGCTTTTCAATGTTCCTAGCGGGTTCGGTTCTGCCAGCGAGTTCACTGCAAGAATCAGGCCAACCTGAATCGCAATGTTCATCAGCAGGAGAGTTGTCGCCAGGAAAGCATTAAAATTACCCACAACTTGCCGTGCCCTGTCTCGCGAATGCAGCATGACGATGAGCGCGGCATCCCAAATAGAATGCTGAAAGTCAATAACCTCCAGTCCAAGGAACGGTGCAGCCTGAAACTCCCCATGATGAATCTGGCGCACAGGCTCAGAGCCCGGAACATGACCCATGTCGTCCTCCGAGTCCTCGAAATCCTCCATACCCATACCCGGCGGTTTGAAGGGCGCTGGCTTCGGAGCGGGCTCCGTTGCAGTAAGTCCGAGGTACTCTGACCATGACTGGTTTGCCTCTTGCTGCGGACTGGGTCCTCGACCGAAGAGCTCATGGCATTGCGCTCGAAGTCGCGCAAGCTCTTGGTATATCGATGCATTCTCGTGCATAACGGCTTGGCGCACCATGGATTGCAGGTTTCCTGGCATTCGCCGATCGGAAGCTCCCGAGTTCTCAACTTCGGCTCTTAGCAACTCCATTTCCATCCGTAGAGTTGGAATTTCATTCGCGAGCATCTGCAGCCTTTGGACTTCTGCATACACGGCAGCCAGCTGCTGTTGCATCGCCATGGCTTGCAAGCGCACATGTGGCCAACCGCTCTTCTTGATCCCTTCACGGCTCTCGAGACAGACATCGCCGACTACAGATAACCGTCAAGCTGCCCAAAGCAGACAGTCCTTCTGCAACTGCTGAAACAAGGAGCCGTCGTCCTCAGCCACGGCAGCATGCACACTTCGCGGTAGGATTGACTAAAGCTGCTTGGTGTTTGGTGTTCCGGCCACGCCTGCTTCTTGCAAAGAAGGCCCGGGAGGTAGAAGGCATCATCGAAGGAGCTTCGCAGCTCTGCCTGCTTTGCGTCTCTCCCTTCGTTCAGCAAACTGCGGAATGACCATGGCAACGAGTGCGATGACTCACGGGAACTAGCTGGTTCTAGGAATGACATGTTTGGAATCAGGACCAACGCTAACTGCGTAAGGAGATCAGCTCAACTGAAGAATGGAAAGGGACAGAGAGGAAGAGGGAGAGATGGAGGCAAGGACGGAAAGGGAAGGCAAAACAAGACTCGTCTGAGCATCGCACTGGAACGTAATCCAAAAAGGAGTTGCCAGGCACTGAAGGCATCACCTTCAAACAGGAAACTTCACACATCCTCAGACTAGGTCTACAGTTCTCGGGCCTGCTCGTTTGTGCCCCGGCACGATGTACCATGGCCAAAGCCCAAAGCAACTCTCTGAGCTGTGTGATGTTGCGAGTGATGTTCACGGTGACGGTGTCTTCCGGTGGCAGGTGATGCCGGTGAGACGACGACAAACTTGAATGCTCTTTGCGGACTCTTGGAAAAACAACTGTCAGGACGCTGCCTTTCAACATCGATTCGCAGGGCCATGAAGATGTCTGGGTTGGAAGCAACCCACAGTGCGCAGAAAACGATGAAGAGCCCTATATGAGACAACCAGTGCCTTCATGATGGCGTCTTCATGCCTCTTTTTGCCAAACCGCTGTCCGACTGTCCGGTGAAACTTGCAGGAGCTCACGCCCCGCATCGCTGCCCTTTCGGGAGGTCGTTGGCGTGCCGTGCTGATCTCGAGAGGGTCCATGTAGCTCGACTTCGGGCCGAGGCCGAGGTTCCTCAGACGGTCCTCGCCCGGGCCGTCGCCCAGTCCGGTGCCTTGGCGCTCGGCAGGGGCACCGCGGCATGGCACGCGGATAGCAAAGCACGCGCGCACCTGGGAGGTGAATGCAACGCCATCTGGCAGCGCATAAGTCAGGGCATGGAGAAAGATGCCACCTGGGCTGCTTGCAGACTACGAAAAACTGCAGCAAACGCACAACTGAAATAGACCGACCGTGTATAATGAAGGAGTCTTCCTGGACCGCAGTGTCTGAGACTCAGAACCGCTTGGCACAGCAACGAGTGGCCAATCTTGACCTCCAAGTCGGCCGTTCAGGCCATCGTCGGTACAAGGGAAAGTCTCCGGCCACGACATGCTGCTACGGACAAAGCTAGAAGATGTTGCCAGAATCTTCCTAAGACTGTGACCGGCTTCCCAACTAAAGCAACGGGCAGCCGGTGTCTGACTCAGAATCGCTTGCCGCAGCAAGGCGTGGCCAATCTTGACCTCCAAGTCGGCCGGCACACGGCACAGAATCCAAGCCATCGTCGGTACAAGGGAAGGTCTAGCCGCCAGCACTGTCAAAGGCGGTGTCTTCCCGAGACAGTGACCGGCTTCCCAACTACAGCAACGGGCAGCCGGTGTCTGACTCAGAATCGCTTGCCGCAGCAAGGCGTGGCCAATCTTGACCTCCAAGTCGGCCGGCACACGGCACAGAATCCAAGCCATCGTCGGTACAAGGGAAGGTCTAGCCGCCAGCACTGTCAAAGGCGGTGTCTTCCCGAGACAGTGACCGGCTTCCCAACTACAGCAACGGGCAGCCGGTGTCTGACTCAGAATCGCTTGCCGCAGCAAGGCGTGGCCAATCTTGACCTCCAAGTCGGCCGGCACACGGCACAAATTCAAGCCATCGTCGGTACAAGGGAAGGTCTCCGGCAACGGCATGCCACCACTGACAAAGCCGGAAGATGTTTCCAGAATCTTCCTAAGACTGTGACCGGCTTCCCAACTAAAGCAACGGGCAGCCGGTGTCTGGCTCAGAATCGCTTGCCGCAGCAAGGCGTGGCCAATCTTGACCTCCAAGTCGGCCGCCACACGGCACAGAATTCAAGCCATCGTCGGTACAAGGGAAGGTCTCCGGCAACGGCATGCCACCACTGACAAAGCTAGAAGATGTTTCCAGAATCTTCCTAAGACTGTGACCGGCTTCCCAACTAAAGCAACGGGCAGCCGGTGTCTGACTCAGAATCGCTTGCCGCAGCAAGGCGTGGCCAATCTTGACCTCCAAGTCGGCCGGCACACGGCACAAATTCAAGCCATCGTCGGTACAAGGGAAGGTCTCCGGCAACGGCATGCCACCACTGACAAAGCCGGAAGATGTTTCCAGAATCTTCCTAAGACTGTGACCGGCTTCCCAACTAAAGCAACGGGCAGCCGGTGTCTGACTCAGAATCGCTTGCCGCAGCAAGGCGTGGCCAATCTTGACCTCCAAGTCGGCCGGCACACGGCACAAATTCAAGCCATCGTCGGTACAAGGGAAGGTCTGTCAAAGGCGGTGTCTTCCCGAGACAGTGACCGGCTTCCCAACTAAAGCAATGGGCAGCCGGTGTCTGACTCGGAATCGCTTGCCGCAGCAAGGCGTGGCCAATCTTGACCTCCAAGTCGGCCGGCACACGGCACAGAATTCAAGCCATCGTCGGTACAAGGGAAGGTCTAGCCGCCAGCACTGTCAAAGGCGGTGTCTTCCCGAGAAAGTGACCGGCTTCCCAACTAAAGCAACGGGCAGCCGGTGTCTGACTCAGAATCGCTTGCCGCAGCAAGGCGTGGCCAATCTTGACCTCCAAGTCGGCCGGCACACGGCACAAATTCAAGCCATCGTCGGTACAAGGGAAGGTCTGTCAAAGGCGGTGTCTTCCCGAGACAGTGACCGGCTTCCCAACTAAAGCAATGGGCAGCCGGTGTCTGACTCGGAATCGCTTGCCGCAGCAAGGCGTGGCCAATCTTGACCTCCAAGTCGGCCGGCACACGGCACAGAATTCAAGCCATCGTCGGTACAAGGGAAGGTCTAGCCGGCAGCACTGACAAAGCGGTGTTTCCAGAATCTTCCTAAGACTGTGACCGGCTTCCCAACTAAAGCAACGGGCAGCCGGTGTCTGGCTCAGAATCGCTTGCCGCAGCAAGGCGTGGCCAATCTTGACCTCCAAGTCGGCCGGCACACGGCACAGAATTCAAGCCATCGTCGGTACAAGGGAAGGTCTCCGGCAACGGCATGCCACCACTGACAAAGCTAGAAGATGTTTCCAGAATCTTCCTAAGACTGTGACCGGCTTCCCAACTAAAGCAACGGGCAGCCGGTGTCTGACTCAGAATCGCTTGCCGCAGCAAGGCGTGGCCAATCTTGACCTCCAAGTCGGCCGGCACACGGCACAGAATCCAAGCCATCGTCGGTACAAGGGAAGGTCTGTCAAAGGCGGTGTCTTCCCGAGACAGTGTCCGGCTTCCCAACTAAAGCAACGGGCAGCCGGTGTCTGACTCAGAATCGCTTGCCGCAGCAAGGCGTGGCCAATCTTGACCTCCAAGTCGGCCGGCACACGGCATAGGATTCAAGCCATCGTCGGTACAAGGGAAGGTCATGCATTCCGCAGTTTTCGAATCAAGGCAACGCTTAGAGGTCCTGCAACACTGTCACGAGCAACAACTCCTGCTTCGCGATTGCAGGCGCACCAGTAGCAAACGTACCCGATGACCACAGCCGCACATTTTCGACCACAGGCTCCTCCACATGGTAAATCGCGCAGTTCTGGAAGTATCTGCGTGATACGTACGTGGCATCCAAGCTTTGGCATCCGAGTGGCTCGGATGCATCGTAGCCTGCATAGACTTCCGCTGCAAAGCTTTCCACTGAGTTTGATTGAGCTGCCGGGCCTCCTCACCGGAGCGAGAGCTCTCGTTGGCCTTGGAAGGTGGAGCTATTCGGACCAATCACATGAAGCCTATCCGACTGAGTCCACAGCCTCCTGTCGAATGTGCGGAATCAACGGCAAGGTGGAGTCCTCGGCAGCGGGAGAAAGCCACGAGCAGCTCTTCAAAGAGAACCGCTGCCCCTTCGAAGAAACCAAAACAGCAGGTGCGAGGCAGTGCTCGCCACAGTAGGTCAAGACCAAGTCGCGTTTCGAAGCTCACCGCCATAGCAGCCTCGACGCTGTGAATTCATGCACATAGTCACAGCTGAAAAGATGATACGAACAAGTAGGTGTTTAAACGTGAAGGGAATGTCTTGTTCGAGGCTCCGACTATCATTCGCGATGGGAAATCCAAGATGAAGCAAATGAACTCCTGGCACAGCACAACCCTTTGCAAAGAACTCAAGCAACTCAGGTGAAACGGCATCGTGGCTTTGCAACCAGTAGCTGGGCGCGGCGCTGATCTGATGCGTCCTTCCCGTTGCTGGATAGCAACGGACCTTGGCACATCCCACAGCCTTCTCCAAGGTCGACTCAAAATCAAAAGGATGCCGAGTGCACCGCGATGGATTCATCCTCAGAGGCCATCCCTACGAACTCGAACTCCGTGGCGGCATCCTGGCAGCGCCCACGCGCCCATCAGGGGGGATCGAGGGACAGCAAAAGAGGCCTTGGCGTCTTCGCCCGGCAGAGGCGCCTCGCCGGAGAACTCGTACTTACCGACCTGAGGAAAAAAGACGCATCAGCCTCGTAGATTCCCTGTGCACACACAGCGGTAGCTTCCGAGGCCTTGCGATCAATGCAGCGGATGTAACCCGCCACCTTGCAAAGCATTGCAAAGCCCGCTTCAAGCAGAGAACGTTTCGAGTCACCTGAGAACTTTGCATGGATGCGCTCATCCCTGCGGGTAGCTCCAACAGGCAAGTCGCCTGCCCGGGAGTCTATAGTCAGGCACATGCTTCGGTCTGTGGCCATGTCCAGAAGCTGCATTGGGGCCTTTCAGGAGTTGCTCGAAGCAGCCGCGCACCCGAGCGAGGTAGGTCTTCCGTATCTGGTTGGCAGCAAACCAAGTGCCAACCTCAGCAAAACGACGTCCCGGCTGCACAACAAAATCACTCAGTGCAGCTTTTGGGGAGGCACTCTCCGAGCTGCTTCTTTGGTCTTGGCCTTGGCTAAGCAGCTGAGGAAGCAACCAACTTTCTCACCAAATCCTCAGCATCGAACCAACAAGACGAGACCACTCGTCAAGCGATCCAAACCTCGGCTCGAAAAGAAGCGAGAGCCCCGGTTCTCCCGGCCTTCGATCGAGATCACGACGGTGGGTCGTGTGCAAAGCTGCATCTGCCTCGAGGCAGCTGTCAGAGACTTTGTTTCGGAGAGGAGCGGGGCCCAAGCTGAGGATCTTTAAGGCGCCCCCCCCCCCCATTCAGCTCAAGCTCAGGCCAGGGTCCCGGAACATCCAGAGCTTCCGGCCTCCACAGTGCCCTGGTTGCGCAAAATGGCGATCAGGGAGTTAAAGCCTCAGTCTTCCGGCGATTCACGGCGAGGCCCTCTCGACTGGGGAAAGCTGAGCTTGGGTCGGTAGCTCCCACAAGGGTGGATAGGGAGAGAGCTGGGCTTGCTCACGACGAGAAGTGCCTCAACACTTCACCGGCCTTTCTTACGGCCTCAGCCCTCCCGCACCGGAGCCTTCGTCTCTTCCACCACCTCGAGATGTAAACAGATACCAAGCTGAGATGGCCCGAGGCTTCGACCGAGCCTTGATCGGGCCACGATCGAGGACTGGGTTCTCGCGACAGCGCACGGCACGGTGCACCTCAGCCCCAGACATCTTTTTCTAAGACAAACATCGACACTGGCGCCCTTGTTTTGTGGCGGCTTCAAAGCGATGCAGGCTCCGGTCAAGACAGGGGTTCCTCCATCGCGGGTTGCTCCATCGCTCAACGTTCGTTCCCGTTTTACTGCGTGACTATCTGACACAAGATGGTCGTTGTGCAACATGAGAACGATCGAAAAATCTTGGCAAGCCGGCCACATGAGCACTGGCGAGGGCCGCCAACAAACATGCAGCCAAAGCCATCTACGCGCAGACAGACTCCAGATTTGTGGTCGAACTGAGTAGGTCCACTCATCGATGTGTACACAGTCCAGGACTTTACCTAAGACACTGTGCAACAAGTTGCCTGCTTAGTCTCGGTTTGAACCTCCTGTTTCAGCATGCCATGAGCGTGAAATGGGACTCCATCTTTGATAAACCTGTTAACTGGATCAACAGAGTCCTTGGGAATGATGTCGCCTTCGAATTTCAACTCGTTGGGAACCGGCATCCACTTGATGCCCATTGATTGAGTTGCCACGTTCATTCTGGCTCCGATGCCGGCTTGAGCTCATGCCCATTGGACCGGTGTTCTGTATGGTGTACGACATTGCACCGAGCTAAGGCTGTCCAAGGCTGCCCTCCTTGCGGAACGAAGTTCACTTCGGCTTGGGCCTGAAAAACTGAACACAGCAAGCTCAAGTGTTCTCGAGGCCGTATGTCGAAAACGTTGGGAGCTATGTAACGGAATGGCCTGGAGATGCCTGATCCCGGAAAGCCTAACCGCTACATGAAATGCCGCGTCACCCCATTTTTTTCATCTGTGAGTGGAAGCCCTCGCAGAGAAGACAAGCGGAGAACAGGCTGGTTGCATGGAGCAATAGGGTGAGGGTTCTTTGATCCAATGTGGATACCCAAACTAAGGAATCCTGCACAAGCTATCGGGCACATCACCACGGTTTTTGTGCTGAGATGGGCACAATGCGCTGGCCATCGCGGAGGACATGTCCGGACTTCACTGCCTTCCCATCCACGGTGACTCGCCCAGCCTCAATGGAAGCCTGGCTCTCAAAACGTGAGGAAAAACGACTTGTGGGTTTGACAGTGGCCTCGTAGTAGTCTCGCGGAAAAGCCACAAACTCGCAAGCGCACACCTGCAAGCGGACGAATGTGTAGTGAGCTTTCCCACCTGCAGCAGCGAGCCTCGAGCAGCGTCCTGCCTATCCAACGCTGCCTGGACACGGTGGATGATATGACAGGTACTGAATTTCAAGGCGGGTGCTCGAAAAGCTGGCTTGGTTTCAGACTTGACATGTGTTGTGAAGTCAAAGTCGTATGGCCTTGGCAGCTTTCGTCTCGCTGCCACTATTCCGCTGCTCACGGCTGATATCCTTCTCAGCTGCATGCTCCACATGCCGCAGTCCTCCCTGCAACCGGTACGTGACCTTAACGAAACAAACATTTTGAACTTTGCATCTTCATCATTCCTTTTGCAAAAAGATGAGGCGCTAGCATGCTCCGGACCTGTAGCAGCGGCACCAGAAAGTCGCCCTGAAATCACTTCGTATGTCCCACCGTCAGAACTCACGCTGATAGACCTCGCTTTGTTGCCGGGTTCGTCGCAGATTCCGCAACCTGGTCAGATGAAATCGGCCAAGTCATGCCATGCCCTCTTAGACCCTCCACCGAAGCTGAGAAAGAGGCGGCTAGCTCGCCATCTCCCTCATCCTGTTGGCCTGAACAGTGGCATTGATCCGCGGAAGCTCGCAGAGACTCTTGCGTCGGAGGAGCTGCCCCTGTCCGCCACACTTTTCTTCTCGTCCTGCGAAAAAGGGGCCGGGCCCCGGGCCCGTTGGAATCGCTTGGACCCCTGCCTGGCCTGGGAGTTCTCATCCCCAACGGCTTGCCGCTTGGGCATCGTCCACGCATCGTGAAGGTACTTGTCAAAACTCCAAGCTGATCTCTCTTATGTGAGGATATGTAAGGCTTCAGGCCAAAAACTCTCTTGGATAGGTTGGCTGTCCGGAGTCGATCGTGTCATGCTGAATCAAACAGACCTCCGTCTGTAAGACTTGAGCAACGAGCTTTTCACGCTCGGAATTGCAAGTCTGAGGAACAGGAAGTTTCCGTGGCAGACTACGCACCGAACAGTTTTAAACGCGACGCTCCTAGCATCAGCTCAACAACGAGTCCAGGCATACCAAATGCCCTCCTCACGATGACGTCACACGAGCTCTGTGCCATATACCTGTCGCAAGAAAGGGAAGAAGGAGTCCGTTTGTCGGGGGGAAAGCGTTTGCAGGAACGAATCTCTTTGCAGTTGAATGAAAAGCTATTCCACCGTCTCTAGCCGCCACCTCGGGGACCTTAACGGCGTCCACCCACGGCCGCACGCCTGAAAGCAACTGAGCTTGGAGATTCTTACATGGCCAGCAGAGCTCGAGGCAAGGATATGGCACTTGGTAGTGAAAAGAAGCGACTGCACACGAATAGCTCTTCGAACTGCCACGGTCCTGCTCTACAGTTTGGTCCCTTTGCCTGAGCACATGCTCCGTGGCCGAAGGCGGTAAAGAAGAGCGAGTACTACCGCTCAGTGGACCCAAACATCCCAAAAGCTGAACACTAGTCACTAGCTGTTGGATACAGCCTTGGAGGGGACGGTGTTCGACGTCGCGGACGGCGATCCTTGGAGGTGTAGGCGTGCAGGCTTTCCCAAGCTTTCCTAGTCTCAAAGCTTCTGCCTCACGGCCGCTGGATCGACGAGGCCTGTGGCTCGCAGGCGGCATGCGCTGAGTCTAGGCAAACGTGCGAAACTATGCCAAGCAGCGGATCCCGCGCGGCTCCGCGGTTTCCATTGCCTTCCGTCCTGCTGAAGCTAGTGCTGACTTCGTGGTGTTTCTTACCTACTTTTGCACCTCGTACGGGAAGGAGGGTCTGTACGACCTGCATGCAAGCAAGCAGTCTGTTTTCAGGTAACTTTGTCAGTGTCGTCGCTAAGCTCTGTGCGAGAAGAAGCATTGGCAGCCTGTCATGTGGTGACGGCGTCGTGTCAGGAGATGGAAACATGCACGGCAAAGGCAGAAACAGTCGTGGCAGCAGCACTCCACTGCGCGGAGGGGCATCTCTGTATCCTGAAGAGCATAAGCTTGTAGCGTAATCTGCTTTACAGTGCAGCCTTCCCTGCCAGAAACATTCACAACGGAACAGATCCGCAAGCGCTGCCTCCTCCACCAGTTGGCCTGCAATCTTGCGATGCCCGTACAATCCGTCATGGGAAGATGCAGAGAATAAACTCATGAGTTTGCAGCTTCTTCTCAAGTGTGCTTCAACAGCGTGCTGTCGCCCGCTAGCGTCTGGAACGGGTGTGTAGGTATATATAAATATATACCTACACACACAAACACATCCGTGCATGCCTGTATAGTTCTGTATGTGCGTACATGCATGCTTATGTATACATACAGGGGGTTAAACGCGACTACGACTTTACATGTGCAACACGACAAAGCGAAGCTCCGAAAGCATGGCCTCCACGCGGGGCTGCTTTTGCACAGCAGTTCTTTCACCGGCCGACAATGCCGGGAGGAATCATATTTTCATTTTCTTTGCGGCGGCATCCGGTCGACAAAGGCCCCACGACGCACATGTTCTGCAGTAGATGCGAATGCCTTGAAGGCGACATAAGCACAGTCCATTGAGAGGCTTGAACATGATGGTGATCGTAGCTCTCTGCCGCGCCCCCTCTGCCGACAGAGACTTCGAGGTTTGACCAGGCATCGTAGCTCCTTGTGCAATAGAACATTATTTGCTGTTACTGTATTGTACCACATAATATCATATAGTGCAATATCACACTATGTTGTATCAGATGATATGATATAATATAAGACTTTATATGACATGACCTGCTGTATTTGTATATAAACATAAATATACATAAAATATAAATATACATATAAATATAAATATATATATATATATATAAATATAAATATAAATACAAATATAAATATAAATATGAATATAAATAAATATATATAAATATATCGAAGTATATTATATTGTATTATGTCTTGCAATATACAGTAAACTTGTACGAGCTTCTATCATACCAAAGTGGGTTATCTGTGTTGTGTGTTGCTGTGCTATAGTAGGGTATATCATATCATATCATACCATATTAAAAAAGATAGTCTCATGCAATATGACAGAATACCATCTCCCTTCATGATGTAATGTCATAGAATGAATATCATACAATAAAAAATATCATATCATATCATATCATAAAGGACATGCTATGTGGCAAAATACAATATCATCTCATACAACAAGATACCATATCAAGAATCGTATAACATAAAAATATCATAAACACAATATAATACCATATGTACAATAACACGTCACATGATCTTAACACTGCATTATCCAACATCATACATTAGAATTTTACAATGTACCAGAATATAGCACAATATAACATGTGATCATATGATACAACAGAATAGAAGAGAAGATGTAATGGAATAGAACAGAATAGAATGGGACTAGGAATCGGACTGGGCGTGGGAGGCGGAACGGGAGGCAATCGGAATTCGCACAGGAATAGGAATGGAATTTGGCATAAGGTGGTGTAGTGTAGGACTTTGCCGGCCTGGGGCTTCTACTTCTCCGGCTGGCACCTCGCAAGGGGGCAGCTTTGCGACGATGCGCTCTCCTCCGCGTGCGCCGGGGCTCCGGCCCGAGGCGGGCGGAGGGGCTCCTCGGGCATCTGAAGTCCGTCTCCTGGAGAGCTTTCCGACAAGGTTTAGGGACAGGAAGGCGAAGGAAGGAAGGCTTCTTCCCAGGCGCCTAGGAGGTTCCTCGCCCTCAAGGTAAACATCGATGGTCCGGTCCTTGCCACTGCACAATGCACATGCGCCTGCAGGCCCCGCCATGACCAAGCTCATTACATTCAACTGGCCACCGTGGAAGCGGCGCACTGCGTCCGACGCATGTCGCGGCCTGCGCAATCCAACCGATGCAGGGCTCGCTCGGGAGCTCGGGAGCCCGGCAAGGATTCTCAGGCCCGGGCTCTCTAAAGGTGATGGTGGCCACGTCGCCACCCACCGAGGCACCTAGCTTCCAGAGATTTTTCATCTTCGGGCACAAAGATATTACGGACATGTCTGGAAGCGTCTGCAAAAGGAAAGTCGAGAGCTCCCAAGCTTCGCGCTCATGACCCGGCCGACGGGATTAAAGGCCGCTTCGAGGTCCCGGCCTGCAGTTGGCGCAGCTTTCCCGCTGCAGGGACTCCAAAGCTGAGTTCGCGGCGGTTGATCCGAAGGCCCTGCAAGTTCGACACTACCTCAGACAGCCGGTGCAAAGGCTGCAAAGATGCTGCGAAGCAGAGTTCAAAAGTCAGGGATCCGACGATAGTGCAGCCCCTGGGCAGAGATTACAAGCCAAAACACACCCTTTCCCCTCTCACTTCGAAGCAGCACCGGCCTGGGAGGAGGGCCTCGGCCTGTCATGTGAGCTCCCTCGAGAGTCTCTCTTTCGCAAGGACTGCGAAAGAGAGAGAGAGAGAGTGAGCAAAGAGAGCTCGTAGTAGCAGAAGCCTCTGTCGTCATCCGCTGGCGGATCATCATTCCTGCCATCTGCAGTCCACGCCCACGCCCTCCTAGTCTTGGTTACACTACCCGTGGCCAGCCTTCTGCGATCTCGGTCGCGTGGCTCTGGGTCTCCTCGACGGTCACCACCCTGAGGAGGGCAATCTCTTGACGAAGCCCATGGGGACGGAGGACAGCTGGGGTACTGACACGGCCATAATCGTCATAGTCCTGCGAAAGACATGCAGGAAGCCCGCACTTGAACTTTGTATGATGTTCACTAGACGTCTCCTTGCCCCCATATCCGCCACCCCGGCCGTATCTATCGTCATCGCCCCTGTCCCAAAACGGATCGTCCGGCCGTTGCACGGCATCACAACTGTCAGGGCGCCAAGAGCCCACTGCCTTCCACCATAGGAGGATTTTCCCCCCTGGTCCTTTGTTGGACACTCTGAAAACAACAGACACCTGCGACAGCACTTGCATACTTCATCCGAAGCACATAGCTTTTTCCGTACTTGTCATCGTACTTGTCGTATTTCCCTCCTTGGATGGGCAGCTGCTCCGATACTCAGAGTCTTTGCGCCAAAGGCACCTTCTCCTGATTCTCTGAGTGCCCGACCGCCGTAGCCGCCCCTAGTTGCACACAAGCTGCAGCAGCTAAACGGGGGCAGCCAACCATGCTTTCAAACTGACCCGTCTAAGCCCTGCACTTGTCGTAGGATTTGTCGTAGGACTTGTCATACGACTTGTCGTAAGACGTGCCATAAGACTTGTCGTACTTGTCGTATGACTTGTCGTACGACTTGTCATACTTGTCGTAAGACTTGTCGTACGACTTGCTGTCGTAGGACTTGTCATACGAGGAAGTTTTGTCCCACGTTTTGCCTCCGGATCCGGCCCAACTGTACGACTTCCCACCTGCATCGAGACAAAAGTCGCTAGTACCCTGCAAGCACACATGTGGAACAGGCAGGTGCCTCCACCGCCATAAGAATCGCTGCCCTGACAGGCCGACCGGATACCCCCGCCATGCTTGGCACAACAGCAAAGGTCCTTCTTCCAATCGCTTGACCAGTCATTTCCGTCCTTCTTCCAATCCTCGTAAACCAAATCATGGCATGCAGGCTGCAAGTCTGAGGATAAGCACCCAAGTATCGTGCCGCAGCTTTGGATCCCGAGCCCCACTTATCGGAGTCCTGCCACACGGCGCTTTGATGATAAAAGGAAAAGCATCGCGGGTCTAGCCCATGGGACAAAAACGGCATCTTGGTGGGCACAGCTGTGTGATAGTAGAACCATTTCCTTCCAGTCGTCCTTCTTCTTCCAGTTGCTGTCCTGCACACAGCGTGCTGCAACTTCACGGGCTGGTGAGGCAAACGAGCATCAGTTGCGTATCTAGTGCCTTCCAGTCGTCGGTCTTGGACGCACTCTTCCAATCCTGGATCGAGGATACCGGGGACCGGGATACCCCTACAAGTACCCCATGAAAAGGAGATCTTGATTTCTGGAGTCCTGTGAGTCGCTCTTGTCCTGATACAAGTCCAACAGACTTTGCATCTACGGTAAGCAAGCACCTATGCGGCATCGCCACATCATCCCGTCATCTCATCTCCTTCCAGTTGTCGTCTTTGGACCAACTTGACTTCCAGTTGCCCTGTCTTCCGCCGTTGCCCCAGCGGCCTTTACCTGGCGCGACACGCCCGGCGGGTGCGGCCGCCCGGGCTCAAGCAACTAATTCCAAAGCTCTGGGAGCGTCACCGCCGCCCTTCGTCGCACGACGGTCGGCACTCGGATCAGGTCAAGGA